AATCCCTCCCGCGGTGTTGGGTTACCCAGCAAAACACCCCAAAACAATTTTGGTGGAAACTTGTACCCCCAGCGACTGTTTGATACTGTTCGCGCTAAACACAACCAGTGGGAGGGGAACGTCCTACGCCCACGCAACAGGCAACGACACCGAAGTTCAATGCATCTGCTCTCATAAGTGGGGTTGGCTGAGATAGTTTTACGGAAAATGATTGTGGTGTGCGTGTTCAGGAGGTCAAACTACTCCCGTACTCGTCCCATAACCACGTTGAAAGAGAGGGGCAGTAACTCGTTGACTTGTAAACGCTAATAAATCAACACCGGGCGCTATATCATCTACTTATCTATCTATATGACTTTGCCCTTTTATGACTGATTAATCTTCTTGAGAGATGGGATAAAAACGAAATTCCTTCAAGAGAGGAAAATTAATGGTGCTCATAAAAAAGAAGAGAGGAATGAAGTAATTCACTTGAATTTTTACTGAAAACGACTATACGCTTCAAAGGTGGACATTATTGCCCAGCCTGTCTCAACCCCTGTATCTTCCAGTAGACCAACAAATTCTCAACGACAGGCGTGGGTTAGAAGGGGTTCATCTTTCACCGCTGATCGATCCGTATGAGGCGCAATCACCCACTTTTTAGAAATCCCAAGGGCAAACTGATGTTCAGGGCAGTTTTTCATCCTCTTGGAGAAGCCTGGTACCAGTCTACTGGCCTCAGACGGTGAAAAGCTCAGTTGGACAGCCGTTCTACGCCTTAACCCCCGCCACTGCCACTACTCCACCTCCGACTACAACGGCATAACTAGTAGACTATTAAACAGTGATATTATCAAGAAGGAGCCGGGGTAGCATGAAGAGATCATGGTGCGCGCGGTGCGAGGCCTCTCATTGGCCTTCCCCATTGGACGCCCATCCCTTCCGAAACGGTAGAGAAAATTCCCACATCGACGGGCAGGCACATTGGTAGTCGCGACTACTCCCCAAAACCACGGCAGAGTGTACAGTCCTTATCCCGGACGTGGAGAGGGCGTGCCTGCGAATCTGGTCTGAACGGCTGCGCCTCCGGTGGGACTTGGTGTTCTTGGACGATCGTAATTATTTCCTTGTGACCAAAAGACAGATGACATTTTTCTTCAGTGGAAGCATGCCCAAAAAGGGGATTCTACTCCGTGTTTTGAAGAAGTACGCAGCCACGCCTTCGCCATCGTAAGGATATGGAGTATACCTATCAGGAACTTAGTGAAGGGAGATGACAGAAAATGAGAAGTATAACATGAAGCAAAGGTAGCTCTAAGAAATATACGAAAAAAAGAAGCATGAAAAATTCCAAGTTTTCCTAGAGTATTACGATTTTTAAGCTGGTTGGAAGTATCCTTAGCGGCTTACCGTCATCGACGATGATCTCAAGCTGAGTTGTTGTGTTCAGTGGTGGCTGAGCTCCATCGCTAACCGTCACCGCAACTACATAACTTGAACGTTCCTCTCGGTCCAGTGGTTCCCTCAGGGTGACGAGACCCGGTCTTGTTATCGATGGCGAATTCACGTGAATCGATGGAAGTAAGTTAGATGGGCGTTAGTCCCTCGATCTGAGTCCTCCGCCTATAAAGTTTACCTTTTATGAGACTTCTATCTTTAGGAGAACAGGCCTATGCTTACCTTGATGGTGATGACATGAAAGCCTATAGGGGAATCTTCTGGTATTCGTACAGCAAATAGCTGATCGGTAAAGTATGGCGGAGAGTTCACATCTTCCACAATGATATTCACACGACATCGTCCTTGGAGACCACCCTGGAAGATAAGAAGCATCTGAGAAAGCCGAAACAACATCCAGAACTCTTCCTGGAACGAACCTGATCTGTTGCGGAAACCTCGAGACTGATGAGGTGGTCAGTACTCCGCAGTTGTCCTGACAAGGTCAACAGTGCACCCTGAAACCAGTTAGGCTTACTTTGGCGACAGCTATAGAGGAGGGAACGAGGCGCTATTCGGCTCAAAGGAGAGGAGAGCATTCTGCCGATTCGCAGGTTCTTTCATTAAGTTCCTGATTAAGTTACACTTGTAGACGATTGTCTAGTGCAAGTGAGATTCCTGCTAATGCATAGCTTCACAGGAATTCACAGGTCTCCAAAAAACATTGGTAATTATAGATGGGCACCAGCAAAATGCCCCCTCCAAGCCGAACTGCGATGGAAACGACGCTTTCGGAGATCGTCTTGAAAAAAAAAACTTGATAGAAAAGATTGCTTCTGACCTGCTCGCCAAGATCGATCAAGGCGACGACGTCTCTATCCATTTGCTCTATACGGTAGACGATTTTCTGCTCAGCGTCCTGAAGCACCAAATATCACGGGTTGAAAATACCAAAACGGATCATTTGATTCCTAGTTTGTCCACAGTTACGCATTCCGCAACAGACGGACGGGCGGAGAAATGGGCGGAGACCTACAACGATCGTGCCTTCCTCATTGGGTGGCTGGTCATCTTCACCGTGTTAGAGCAAGATCCACACCAATAAGAGGGACGCGATGTTTATGCTAACTGCTCATTTCTTGACCCACTCGGTGATCGTGGAATGCAGTCGTAAAACGGCAATATGGCGATTCCACCACAGCCATATATTTTCGGAGGCTTATAAAGCCGTAGATGAGTGACTGGGACCTCCATTCCAGAGAAAATTCCTATAACCCTCTGGCAGAAATGCAAATGATAATCCCATAGAACCATGGGTGGAGGGCCCCATTGGCTGAATTTGTACACTGCTTTCCGAGGGTTATATGGCATTTTATATTGCACTTTTTGTACTCTGGCGCTACCGTATCTACCAGCGCTATCTTCGCGTCGGGATTTCGCAATAAGTGGGGTGCTGTGGACGTCCGGCGCTCACATTCCATCCCTATTAAAAGAATTCACTACACAACCCATTTTTAGACCAGTAAAATGCAGATATTAGGAGATTCCATTGGATCTGCTAGCTGATTTTCGATGACAACAATCCGCCAGCAAACTGCATGAGTGCTAATGTGTCCGATATAGGATAATGGGTCGCAGCGCACTAATGTTCCTTTCCTACTACCCACAGACTGTGAGCGCTAGAAGATTTAGGACAAAGAAAAATACCAGGGGAGGCTTATTCTTGATGTGTGTCAGGCACAGCTAACGAAAAGGGAGACCGTGCTGGAAACAGACTCCTTTGCCCCAGAAACTCGATGACGAGAGCGAGAGATGAGCTTAAAAGGAACTTGCCAGCTCAGTCTGCTAGGCTCAGGCCCACTGAAGTAGAGCTTGTTGAAGGCGCATTGGGACAGCTCTTCGTTCGCTTGCGCGACGTGGCGTGCTGGTTTTGGTTGGTGCAGAGCGTTCGTCAGCAGTTGTTGAAGAGAGAGAGAGGCAGCAACTGATGGAGAACGGTCTGGCGCCGCCCGCCAAACTCGGCACGTCACAGCATTGACAGTGAGCAAGACGCCACTGGTAGATCCAAAGCTCTCTACATTTCCATTAGCATCTTGAGTAAGCGCAGTTGTAACAACAGTGGTATCGGGCCGGCCATTTGCCCCAGGAACGTTGCTTTACCATACAGAAATGGGGACGGCTATAATGCTCACGATACCGAACGGTAAAAGCGGCAAGTACATTTTGAGGACATAAAAGTGATTTCAGAAGGTGGTTTGGGTCGGTTGAAGATCAACCAACGCGCGAAACTAGCCACCTATTTCTATTTTAGCACGAGGTCAGATTCTGCGAACTTGCGCGTCAAAGACTCGGTGCGAATGCCGCGCACGTGATACCGCTTGTCACGCATGTGATCAAATCGTCGCAGTATAAATCTTCCGCCCAAATACTAGCTAACATGAATTTATTAAAAAAATCTATTGCCAGGATCGCAAATGTTGAAAAATACCTTGTCCTTCAGCCTTCAGTTACAAATGACTGCCACGTGGGGTTTCTTCGGAGAGTGTGATGTTGTACTCGGCCTTCGCGAACTCGGGAGCATTATCATTCACATCTTTGACAATGACCATGATTTCAGTGGACGATGAAAGCGGCGGATTACCCTGGTCAGCAGCCGTCACCTGAAAGTTCATTGGATCGGCACTGATACACGCTGATCGTTGGGCAGATAGGCTAGAATTGCCACCGTTCCCAATAGGCTGAGAAAGGAGATGGCGCACCAGTCTGTGGAAGGTGCCAGTTGTGTAAGCCCGACTCCGTACTTTGAATCAAGCTCAGAGTGCGCGTCAAAGGGTTCAATCTTACCTGCAGGATGTATTGAGCGGTTCTTTCTCTATCAAGCGACACTGTGGTACGGATGATCCCTGATTCAGGGTCGATTGAGAAATCCGACGAGCCATTCAGGGAATACCTGGAAAGGGGAGTATCGTACGCTAAGAAGGCTTCCGTGTGGGCGGGACAAACCTGATGATGCCGTTGTCACCAGAATCCTCGTCGATAGCGTACACTCGGCCAACTTCATCCCCTACAGCCACATTCTCTTCAAGGAAGATTTTCTTCTGGGACGCGATAAACGTTGGGGCCTGAAAGGTCTCAGTGGTAATAAGTACAATAAGGGTCCGTGCAACTGACGGGGCGGGAGTTGGAGCGCTGCCAAGGCGGCTAATGATGCCATTCTGAGCCGACAAACATTGGCGGGAAGGATTGTTCCGGCTGCGATCCAACTCACACCCCATTACACGCCCTATCGTTTGCAGATATCATTGCTACAAAAAAGCGTTCTACTACACTGACATGATCATTGATATCGACGACGTAAATCAACAGAGATACGGTAGTGCTCAAGGCTGGTTGAGCGCCATCTTTGGCTCGGGCCAACACAGCGAAAGGCGAGCTCCGAGCATCCAGATGTTCTCTGAGCACCACTTCGCCGGTGTTATAGTCGACAGTGATAGGGACTTGAGAGGTGGCCACAATGCTGTAGTGCACTTTTCCTGGAAATTATTGATTGAGGATAAATTCATATGGAAGAACAATAGGGAACTAACCGTTAACTCCACTGTCCTTGTCGGTGGCTTTTAAGCGGGCTACAGTAGCCGGCAAAGTCGCATTCTCCATCACACTGATGTTGTAGATCTCCTGAATACATCGTTCTCACATAATAGCAAGTATTTGGGAATCAGGTAGGAGCCCCTCTGTAGGCCTTATTCCAGGTAGAAATCTCTCTGAGGGCCTTATTCTCTCTTCTTTCCTGACTGAGGACGGTTACCAATCCTCGTCTTGAAAGAGCCCAAAAGCCGCTCCCCTGGAGTTCGGGAATGTTCCCA